TTTTTTTTTTTTTTTGAGTATTCTGATTCTCTACTCCACTACCTTTTCTAATTCCTATAAATCAAACTTTTTTGAACTAAACGGCACACAGAATTAGAAAAGATAACGTTCATCCTGACTATTATGAAGAATTTTTTGGCCATACCCACCGTTTCGTTTCCAAACAATTAGGGCTTGAAAAATAAAAAACTTATTATTGAATAAAAAGAATTAAATAAAAAGTTCCTAAAACTATCAGAACCAAAAAAAGAAGTGAATAAGAGGTTAGGCAAGCCAAAAATATACAAAGCAATTGAGTTAAAAAGATTCGATTTCTCGCAAACACAAACCATGCCAGTTGTTTTTGAGCACAACTTAGAACCAATACATCCATTAACTTGACAAGAATAAGTTCAGCAAACTTTTTTACAGCACCAAAAAAAAGCTAAATTTATAGTGAACTTTATTCAAGACAGTTCTGTTCAGAAATTGAAAAAGAAACTGGGCAAGTGAACCACCATTTTCAAATCAACTCTAATTTTCAAGAACACAGGATAGCTCAGGAAATTATAAGTAACAGAAACTTTTATTAAACATTAGTGATGTTAAAAGATTCATAAAAAATTTAAAATGAAATCAGAATGAAGCATCTTTTTACTTCCCAAATCTCAAAAAAAAATTTTTTTTCAGCTTCTCTCCTTTGATCTCAAAGAAAACTGAAAAATAATAATTATAAAACGTTCAAATGGATGCTTATCTTTCCAGCGTCTGTTGACATTCCTAAAACATAAAAATATGTCTAATTTGATTCAAATCTGATTAAAAAGCTTTAAAACACACAGAAATTTCTAACCAACGAGGTAGCTCTTAAAACAATGCTCCCAACAACAGACTGCAAAATCAGAAGACTTTGATACAATGATCAACGCATATATTGCCCAAATAAAACTGAAAAATTGGATTCGCTTTCAAAAGATAAGCAATGAGCGATAAGATTAGGAGGAAAAATAAAAAAAAATCAGGTTTGACCCCGTAAGCAGACGAAATACACGTTTTCTGCGACAATGTCATATCTAATGACCGGCTGAACAATGTAAAACGACAAACGCAAATCAGAAGAACGTTTAATATAAGGCAAGTTATTGATATAAATAGTTAATTAATAATTTTTTAAATGTCAAGAAAAAACTGGCAACAAGAATAAAATAAGTAAACGACGCTAATTTAATAAAGCTTCTTCTTGCTCAAAAACTTGTCTTCCTCAAAAAACTAATTTTCAAAGCACTTCACTACGACTTATTTTTACAACTTAAATGTTATATTACCACTTTTCAAAAAATTTTGCAGCTATTTCCTTATGAAATGCAACAGGATACAGCTAAAAACAACCAGCAAAAAAATTGTTTTCACTTTATGCTTCAAATATGACATCTGAACTGCTATGAAACTGACAAATGTACCTAAACAAACACCTCAATCCAAGAAGTTGAAAGTGCAGAAAAAAAAAAGAAGGAAAAGTAAATGCAAGTAAGCAGCGAGAGGAAATATGAAGACAATCAATCTAAAAAAAAAAGATTTTAGAAAAACTAGCAGTATGCATCCGAAAATTAATAGAAACCGTTCACTAAACAAATTCATTGCATTAACAAAAATTCATTCACGGTGCTATCCATTAGATAGAAAATGTGAGATCTGTCAAAAGCCTGCAAAGGCTGTTAATCAGTGTAACAAAATTACAAGAAATAATAAAGCCTCAAAATCAAAATTAATAGAAGTACACTCCTCTTCCCTACAACACACAATATCAATAAGTTTTCTCAAGTTTTCAGGCATCTCCATAACAACAAAAAAACATTATAAATGAAATTCTTCCTAAGCTACCGTCATGAACTATTCAACTTGCGAATATGAGCGTTACGTACGCAGCAGTCAATAAAAGTTTCAAAAATG